ACGACGATAACGACGACGACGACGACTACTACTACTACTACTACGTTACTACTACGTTACCACTACTACTACTACTACTACTACTACTACTACTACTACTACTACTAGTACGACGACTACAACTGCTCCCACCACTACTACGACCATCTACTACTGAGACTACTAGGCCTCGTCCACTTGTAGCAGAGCCGTGCGTTTGAAATCGAAAACCCGAAAAAGTCTCCAAAAATCCAGACCCTGGTAGTATCCTTGTAGTACCCTGCCAGGTAGTATCTTTATGGTATCCTCTTAGAAGCATGTATCCTAGATCCAGACATCCGAGGCTCTGCCAAGCTTGCGTGCAGGCCAATCGTGCTGACCCGGAGGTGAAGAATCGAAGCAAGCGTCCCAGGCGCGGCTTTCACCCTTATAACCCCTAAAACCCTGGACCTTAAATCACAAAACCCCTATATAATGTAAACCCTAAAACCCTTAAATCCTAAACTCCAAAACCCTAAAACCTTATATCGTAAACCCCTGAGCCCTAAACTCCTAAACCCTTGAATCCTAAGCCCTAAACCCTAGTTGGGGCATCGGGGTTCCTTGAAGGGAAGGCTTAGGCTTTGGGGAAGTTTTGGGGCTTTGGGGGTCCTTTTAGGGTTCCTGAACGGGTACTACCTATAGTCTCCATTTTAGGTCCGTTTTTGGTTTAACCAGTTATATATTTAGGATCTCAGAAGGTGAGCCCAAAAAGGAACTACTGTTAGATTGTTTGAGGGTTTATAGGGGTTAAGGCAGGCACAGCTGTACAAGGGCTCCAGGGGATTTCATGACTTTGTAAAGGCTCTTCCGGATTTGTGGTACGATTATCTATATACGGGCTTGCGAAGGGGTTGTATTCGTAAAGTTTTTCCTTTCAGGGCTTTGCATGAGGGTTCGTTGGGGTTTACATGTAGTTGGGGTTTAGTTAGTGTTTTGGATTCGGGTGTTTTGGCTTAGGGTTCACAGTTTGGAGCTCGCGGGAGGAGATTGTCGCAACTTCAATGTTCAGGGCTTCAGGAATTCAGGGCTTTGTAGCGTGTTGAGCTGTAAGGTTTAGGGTGCAGTCTCCAAGCTACGATTGCCAGGCCTCTTCGTCTGACTGCTACGGCTACTTGTATTGTTTTTCTCGCACAGAGATTCTACTCCCTTGCTGCTGTTTCTGTGATTGCGCTTCTATGTTTAGGGTTCTTTGCCAGACGAGTGCAGAAGTTTTCTCGCGCTAGAGAGAGAGAGAGAGAGAGAGAGAGAGAGGGGGGCCTGCCCTCACCCCAAACCCCGAGCAAAGCAAAGAGAGAGAGAGAGAGAGAGAGAGAGAGCGAGAGCAAGCTTCCCAGCCTCTAATGCCAGTCCCAACTCGACCCTAAACCCACAGCCCTGACCAAAGGCGAGAAATTCCCGTGTTTTCCAAAGACCCAAACCCTCAACCTCAATCCTTCACTGTGGACGCATTTAAATGGCCTGCAAAGTTTGACAGAGAGATAGGTAGGTAGATCGTTAGATCAATCGACAGATAGGTAGGCAGACAGGTAGAGATGGAGAGAGAGAGAGAGAGAGGTAGAGACAGAGACAAAGACGGAGAGAGAGAGAGAGAGCGATAACCAGATCGTTCGATTCGTAGATAGGTAGATAGATCGGTAGATAGATAGATGGATAGACAGATAGATAGATAGATGGACAGATATATAGATAGATCGGTAGATCATAGATCGTTAGCTAGGTAGATAGATAGATCGGTAGATCGTTAGATAGATGGATAGATAGATAGGTAGGTAGGTAAGTAGGTAGATGGATGGATAGATAGATAATGATGGTTAATGACAGATGATATAAAGACAGATAGATAGATAGATAGATAGATAGACAGATAGATAGATAGATAGATAGATAGACAGACAGGTAGACAGATATACAGGTAGATAGATAGATAGATAGATAGATAGATAGACAGATAGGTAGATAGATAGACAGATAGATAGATAGATAGATAGCGCGAGAGAGATAGATAGATACACAGATAGACAGATATACAGGTAGATAGATAGATAGATAGATAGATAGGTAGATAGATAGGTAGATGGATAGATAGATAGATAGATAGATAGATAGAGAGAGAGAGAGAGACACATGTACATATATATATATATACAGAGAGAGAGAGAGAGAGACAGAAGAGAGAGAGAGAGAGAGAAGTTAGTATACCCGGCAGATGGCCGCTACTACGTTTAAGTGTGATTTGGTCCTTAACTATCGCCTCACCTTCTAAACCCTGAGTCCTATACCCCAAAGACACCATTCCGGAATCCTCCGTGCTCTTTATCGGAGGGACGAGAAGACCCCCGACAGAATGGGGCCTTCCATGCTATAGAAAGGCCTACGAATCCCTACAGTTGGGGATGCCATACCATGAAACCCTTTGCGGTAGCTCAGCCGCAATGCCCTCGTTTGCTCCGAAAGGTGCGTTCGTAGCTTTGTTCGGCACCCGCATCGCTTGGGGACTGTGATTCAGAGACCCGCGCACTTGGGTTTGTTTGCGGCTTGTATGTCGGCTTCCTATAAAACAAGCCCGAAAGACTATCAGCCTTAAGCTGTGCACCCCAGACAGACCATGAGAAATCGACCTCTCAAACCGGATGGGTTTCGTAGAGATGCCAAGACCTCTCAAGCGGTGATCTCTCTAAACCCTAAACCGCAAACCCTAAACCTTAAATACTAAACCCTGAACCCTAACGTCCTTAACCCCAAACCCTAAACCGGCAACCTCAAGAACAAGAAGCTCTCGAGCCGGAAACCGGGAATCTGAAAGACTGAAAGATTCGAGTGGCTCCCAGGGAGACGAACCTCTACGCTGTCACCGAGCTTCTTGGCATTCCGTGTCAGCGTGTTGGGGAAATCATGCTTCGATGTTTGTTTCATAAGCTGTTTGGGAGTTTCGGAAAATACAGGGTACCATATTTTGGAGGTCCTTATAATAAGGATCTTGCTACTAAGGGTACTGTATTCGGGTCCCCTAGTTTCATAAGCCCCCGTTTCATGGTCATTGGGCAAGATGATGGCTCCTGGGCGTTGCTCACCAAGGAGTGTCGTGGTATTCTACCGGAAGCCCCTAAACCCTAAACCCTAAACCCTAAACCCTAGGCTCATCATCAAGCCTGAGACAGCAGTGCTGGGCGTGTCCTACTCTGAGCTGATCAACCCAGGCCGTGGGATGAAGGGTTTAGGGTTTAGCGGTTTAGGGTTTTAGGGTTTTTAGGGTTTAGGGGTTTAGGATTGAGGGTTTAGGGTTTAGGGTTTTAGGGTTTTAGGGTTTTAGGTTTAGGGTTTAGGGTTTCGTGTTTAGGGTTTAGGGTTTCGTGTGTAGGGTCCAGGGTTTAGGCTTACCCTACGAGTTCAAGGACCTAGTAATCCAAGCCCACCCCCCGCCCTCCTCCCAAGAATACACACTACCCCACATTACTCTCTCAAGCCGAAATGCCTGATTCGTGTGGTCTTTGGACCCATAAAGTTACGGACTCATATTAATGGATGTGCGAACACGTGAAGATCAGGGGATTTGCAAAGTAGGGTCGTGATTAGCAGAACACACTTTTTGTAGTTTTTACTTTAGCGCCAAGGAAACGGTTCGGGGTTTAGGGCTTAGGGTCTAGGGTACTTGTATGAGAGTTATTGCCACCACCCTCATGACGACCCTTGTGCCAAGTTGGAATTTGACATTGGGCTTTCGCGACTTGGAACTTTCGCGATGGAAGTGGCGTTATGACAAACCCTAAACCCCGGAAAATAAATTAATTAACCGACAAATCGATGGCTACACATTCCTGAACTGAGGTTCTATGTGCTTGTGATAAGTACTGTGGCCTTAACGAAATGGACCTACTATCTGGTTACCTAAGTCCACGTGGGTTTGAGATTTATGATGGTAGGTTCAGGGTGTTAGAATTGCCTAAACACTAAAACTCCCTGGAAGATGGCTTGCAAGTGGACTACTTCATCTCGCACCATTGGGCAGAAGATTTCGGTGAGTTCGTGCAGAGCGTGTTGCAGCTCGGCCCGGTTTAGGGTTTCGGGTTGGCGGCTTGGACAATTCTTTCAGTTGATCGACTTTTCACTCACTGGCCGAGGGTGTGTACCGCTTCACTTACGGTTGGGGGCCCTGGCTGGGCCTTGTAAGGTTTGGGGTTTGTCGTGGATGTTGTGGTTTCCGTGTTTTGGATTCAGGTTTGCAACTTTAGGCGCGCCCTCTGGTTGCTCCTTGTTTCGATTAGTATCTTCTAGGGCTTGCGCGGCTTGTCTGTGCCGTTCGATCATGCGGGCTATGAGGTCCTAGGATTCTTGCATCAATAGCAGCAATAGCAGTTTCTGCGCAACCCTAAAACCGGAACTCTGCGAAATTCTGACCCCTAACCCCTAAACCCTAATCCCCTAAACCCCTCAACCCTGGACCCTAAACTCCTGAACCGCTGAAGCCTGTTGGGTTCAGGCGGCACGCCATCGTCGCCGCTCCTGAGATGGGTGGCCTCATGGAGTGGACTTCAGTGGTTTATTGGTGCTGCGCCTTTGCCAACAATCAGCACCCCGGCTGTTTGAAAAGGGGCGACTGTCCTGCAGTTTAGGGCTTAAAGATTTAAGAAGGGGCTGGGATGCGTAGTTCTGACAAACCCAAGGTACTCGGTGATAACCTGCTAAAGGAACTTCCTTCAATTTACAGTCTTGACATGTGAAAATAGCCCTAAACCCTAAACGAACGAGCTTTTGCAATTCTACCTGTAAGGATCGTAAGCCCGTATCGAGCCAAGGCACCAGGTCGAACTGGGTGAGACCCTGCAGAAGAGTCCCTTCTACCAGGCTCTGAATTCCAAGAACTGCAGGGGCACAGTGATGAGCCACAGCTGCCTTGGTAGTCAGGGTTTCAGGGTTCACCATATAATAGTCATAACAATGCTAATAACAATACTAATAGCAATAATAGCAATAATGATAACAATAGTACATATTCTTATCAGAATAATAGTAATAGTTTTTATAATAGTAGTAACAACAGTAATAGTTTGTATGATAGGAGTAACAATAGTAATCGTTTTACTAGTAGTAGTAACAATAGTAAGGATGTGGGTTACAACGAGGGTCTTAGTAAGGTTTCGCCGTCTCGCCTTGCAAGCTTTTGGGCTTTGGGGCTTGAAGACTTTCTTGGATTGGTAGACCTAAACTTAGGAGCCCAGTAGGTAAACTATAAACTTTTTGGTATATTAAACCCCTACTAAAAGAAAAGTTTAAAGTTTTCTGGGCCAGGGTATTGGGCTTAGAGGTAAAAACCCCATGCTAAATATACCTATAGTCTCCGTTGTAATTCTTTTTTGGGGTTACGTTACAGGATCCTAGGCAAAATTTTAAACCTGCTCTTTGGCCAGAACGTCCATCAAATCGCTGCAGGTGCCCCCTTCAAAGTCCTCTTCAGCGTTTTGCTTTGGATAAGCTTCATCAAGCTCCTGCCTACAAGACGGTTTAGGGTTTAGGGTTTTGGGTTTAGGGTTCAGGGTGTGGTCCTGACAACAGTCCGAGACCCCTAAGCGCTAATGTAGGGGCCTGAGTAATTAGAATAAGGTTTGGGGGTAAATTATATTCCAATTACATGAAAGAACCCCCAAAGCCCTTCCCCCCTTTTATTAAACACGCCCCCAAATAATAAAAACACATTGGGGCAAATCCTGCCAAAATCATCTCTGCATTTTAAAACCTATTCTGAATTAGGGGGGAGGGTTTCGAGGCTCCAAATACCCGTAGAGCACAGTAAGAGCAAGCGCAAGAGCAGGAGCAAGAGCAAAAGCGGCAGCATCAGCAAGAGCAGCAGCAAGAGCAAAGCAAAAGCACGAGCGGGAGTAAGAGCAAGAGCAGGAGCAAAAGCGGGAGCAACAGCAAGAGCAGGGAGCAGGGGCAAGAGACGCAGCAGAAGCAGGAGCAAAAGCCAGCGCGGGAGCAAGAGCCAGAGAAGGAGCAAGAGCACGTGGCCTCAGAAGTGGCAGTAGAGACAAAACATGCGCCCTAATAATAATAATAATAATCATAATCATAATCATAATCATAATCATAATAATAATCATAATCATAATCATAATCATAATAATAATAATAACACTTTCAGAGTATCTATTGGCGGCGGGGGGCCCCGTGTTCAATATTGGGGGGAAGGGATAAAACACCTAAGCCGAACAACTCTACCCAAAAAGCCCCACAAGTAGGTTAGTTTTTGGCCCAAGACCTGCCAAAGGGTGTTGTTCTACATACTCTTGGGGTCCAGGGATTTTGCGGGGCCAGGCCCGAAACAGTCAAACTCCCAAAACTCCCATCGCCACACGGGAAATCCTCGCTCCCAGTCATTCTCCTCCGGGTGACTTCGGGCTAACATATATATATATATATATACACACACACATACATACATTCCATATGTTTATATAAACAGTTGTTTGTATATATGTACATACATACATACCAAATATATATATATATATATATATTAAATATCTATCTCTCTCTTTCTATCCATCATGTTCTTATGTCACCAGCACCCAGTAACGGCCCCTGTGTTCGTGTTCCCTCTGACCGCTCTGTTGGCTCCGGGACTTGGCTGCAACCAAGAACATGCTATCATGAAGGTGCAGCTTACACCTTGAACCTAGGGAAAGTCTTAAGCGTGCAAGAGCCCGAACCTACTTCAGGGTTTAGGGTTCAGTGTGCTGCGCTACTACACCTTTATAAGACCCAGACTACGAGATTGAGGCGACACTCGAAATTGACTCCGAAACGCTTGTCCAAGCATTAATTCCCAAACTTCGGAAGTTTTTAGAAGCACTCGCCCCCCCTCCCAAGATCTACGCATTCGTAGTTCATGGGGCATGGGGTGCACGAAACACGGTAATGCTCAAAAAATCCAAAATTTCTAATCCCCAACCTCACGAAACCCTGTAATGCTCAAAAAATTCCAAAATTCTGGCATCTATGTCCAGGCCAAGGCCAGATTCCCGAAGTTTTTCGGAATTTTTGGAATTTTTTGAGCATTACAGTGTTTCGTGAGTTTGGGGGCTGGGAATTTTGGAATTTTTTGAGCATTACAGTGTTTAGTGAAGTTAAGGCCACGAAACACTGTAATGCTCAAAAAAATCATTTTTTCACAGCCTCAAAACTCACAAAACTTGAGCATAGCAGTGTTTCGTGGCTGAAGCCTCACAAAACATAAAACTCACGAAACACTGTAATGCTCAAAAAATTCCAATTTTTAAAAGGAATCTGCTCCGGTCCGGCCATAGATGCCAGAATTTTGGAATTTTTGGA